TCACTGCAAAAAACAAGATCTTAGCACACTTGGCTACGTCATCAACAAATATTCCTCAATTGGATGGACCAATTCCTGATCTATATGATGATATGCTTTCTACTCCCAATGTAAGTATCATATGGTTTGTTGGATCAATTCCTAATCTTGTTTTGTGTAATTCTGCAACTTAGTCTTATTTTGTGTATATTGTATGGAATGGGCCTTTTTCTATGTTTCCTGTGTCTGTCATTGGAGAGTTGACTGACTTTGAGCTGTTGCCTTCTGATTTTCTTTGCTCACCTTGAAGATATACAATTATCAAGGAGTCGTTAATGAAGACTACAATGTAGTGAACACGCCGGCTCCAAATGGTAACTTTAATCTGTGGAAGAGCTGAGGATTGCATCTTATCTAAGCACCTTGTTTTTTTTTTGGTTGACCTGCTTTTCTTGTTTCCTGGCCAGACCTTCAGGCTGCAACTCCTGCTCCCATTCCCCAAAATGACACAGGGGATGATGACGATGATGAGCCACTGAATGAAGATGATGATGATGAAGATGATTTGGACGACGTGGACCAGGGAGAAGAGCTGAACACACAACATTTAGTTTTGGCCCAATTTGAGAAGGTGATTTTCCTATTTTTGCATCATCTCTTCCCATGACCTATTAATAATTTGTACTTATACAAGTTACGAGGTCTCATGTAGACAGAAAATAATACATGCTTTTGTTTGTAGGTGACTCGTACCAAGAGCAGATGGAAATGCACGCTGAAGGATGGTATCATGCATATAAACAATAAGGACATTCTCTTTAATAAGGTATGCTTGTCAGCGAATGATATACAACATTCCTTTTTACTGTTTAGTACCATCACTTTTATAAATTGAATGCAATTTTGTTTTTGTGGCTGATACTATTTATCCTATTTTGCAGGCAACAGGGGAATTTGACTTCTAATTTTGTTAGAGAAATGTAGTGGGCATCATATTGCAGCAGGTCAGGTGGTTTAAAAGTGCAAGTCAAGGGGTGTTTTTGTTTGAATTACTATTAGAGCGAAAGGGGATGGGATTCTATATTTTTAACGCCTTCCTTAAGACTTGGGTTCTGGTTGTATTGTGTACATAAACGAAGAGCTTTTTCGGCCTTAGAATGAATGACTTGGAGACTGCTTCATGCAGCTTTATAAACTTATTGCAATGCCATTTATACTTGTTATGCTTGAGACATTTGCATCTTGGAATCACATCGCCTTTCCTATGGGCAACCAAAACTCGACTAAGAAAAATTAATTTTTCGACTCAATTTGATGTCAAAAATCTCGACTTGACTATTTATAATTTTATAAACTTGATTTGTTTCAAAAAAGAAATTGAGTTATAAAAAAGACTTGAATAACTCGAAGTTTTTAATTAGTCATTTAGTTTTTAAATTTGAGTCGAGTCTCTTAATTTTGCATGATATATGTATATCGTATGTGAAAAATATAAAAAAAATGTGTTTTTATTTTAGAAAATCCTTTTAACTAGAATTAATTAGTATTATAATATTATAAATATCTATAACTAAATTTAAATAATAATTTGATTCGACATAAAAGAAATTTAAATAAAATTTAAGTTATAAAATATGACTCGTTAATTCAACTAATTCAAAAATTTTAACTCGACTTGATCGAATATACACTAATCCCCACAACTCTTACCATATATCCGAAAATCTAACTTTTCATTGATCCCTAAACATTTACAAACAGATTGTCAATAGCCAATTTTAAAGAAAAATAATTTTATCAAAATGTATGCATTATTGTATTTTTCCATGGAAACAATTGTTATTCTAAAGCGAAAGTAAGACCAGGGTGAATACATATAGGTTCCAAGAGTAGAAATTGCACACCTTTTTTTGTTGTTGGAAAAAGTATTAAATTTAATTTATTAATAGAAATAAAAAATAAAAACTATATACTATTTTTTTAAAAAATAAAATTTTAAACCCTCACTTTTTAATCTTAAATTTCGTCACTGAGTAAGACATTAAAAAATTGTATAATTGAATGTTATACAAGTGAATAGAAAAATCAAATAACTCAGAAGCTTGTCTTCATGGAAAAAAATATACAATGGAGGAAAGAACCACATCGATCTCGACATTAATGATTGTACAAGGCAGTCATTTTGCATCATTGACAAGAACACATTGGTTTCGGAACCGAGGTAAGAAAGTGGAAGCCTCCACATTAATCCCTGCCCCAACCGGTTGTTTCTGCCCAGGCGATGTTGGTGTTGTAGCATTCATGTCCTTTGGTGTCGGAAACATGAATTCGTCCGTCTCCGGAAACGGGCTTGGCGATTCGGTGAGCGGTGTGAGCAGCGGAATCGGACTTGGAGCATCGTCAGGGCTTGTCTTGGCAACAGGAGCTTTCATTTGATCAAGCTTCAGAGATTGAGGGGCATGCTTTTGTAGCCTGGTGGGTGGCTTCCCTACTTTGGTTTTGCTTATACCAGTTATGCCTTTCTCAAATATATTCCCAATCTCCTCCATTGTTCCAATACTTGCCAAAGCAAATTATCTTCTTTTCTCTTTTCAATCTCCCTCTCTCTCTCTCTGTATCAATGGTTAAGCACAAGCATGGCAATGGGAGGTGACATATAAAAGAAAAAGAAAAAGTTGAAAAATAGAGAGAGACATGAAGGGGAATGGTCAATGAAGGCATTGTTTTGGGAAACGGAAAAAATGGAGTAAAAAATAGTTAAAGAAGTTATTTATGAGGCTATTTTGTTTTTCACAACACTTGAAATTCTCCAAGTAAAACATCATTATTGTTCCATTTTAAGGAGAAAAACAAGGTCTCAACAAAACATTGTTTTAAAACAACAGATCCATTGGACCAAAGATTTTGTGAAGCTGCAAATCTGAGACAGCTCTTAAACAACCATAACACTGTTTTAAAAGGTTGTTGGTTTAACTAAAACTAGGAGGAAAATAAAAAGAGAAAGAGAAATTGTCGTTGAAATGTTAGCTTTTAGGTCAATAAAAAAAATTATTAGCTGACGTTTTTCCCATAGGTCAATGTCGAACCTAATCAGGTTAAAGTGAATAATATTTTGGTCACTAAATTAAAACTTAACCCCTTTTACTAACGTGAAACGTCATCAAATAAATACATTTAACTCCTTAATAATCAAAACGTTATAAAACAATATAAATGACTAAAACATTACTTTTTTTGAATTCAATGACAAAAATAAACGCTTATAAACTAAAGTGATCGTCTCAACATGTTATTATCCTACCAGACTTTTTTAAAACATTTCCATCAGCTTAAACAATAGAGAGTGGCAGGTCAAAATAGATTTTATGATGGACATATATTAATAATATAAAACTTTGAATTTAAAAATGGACATTTACCCATCCTATTATATGTGTGAATTCGTCACTGGTCCCATTGTACAAACTGTATAACTTCCACTAATACATATTATCTTAAATTCTCGATATTTATGGCGACACCTTGTACCACCTCCAATGGTATGGTACCATCGTCACATGATACAGTGCTTACCAATTTGAGTTTTCAAAAACCAACATACTGATCATGGACAACCATGATGATTTTTTCTTAATCAGATTGAAGTAACTAAACTGCATTTTCAAAGTTGTAGAAGTTTCACTCCTGAATCAATATCATTTTTGTTATACCTGTAATAAATAAATAATAAATATTATATATGATATCCATTTAAATTCTTATCAATTAGCATCAACCGTCATCCTACAACTGTCGTCTTGTGAGTTTAAGAGCAAAAGGATAACTTGTTTTCCCATGTTTTCTTTCCCTTTCCCTGCAAGTCTCGGGGAACTCTATTCCTCCTAAATATCATAACACCCATATTTGTTCTTATTCTAGCATGACTAATGATTCTTTGTTCACATTAGAATGGGTGAACTGCTAGGTATTAAGATGAACCCACTAGAGAAAGTGTAATAATCCTTTTAGGAATGGATTGAAACTTGAAATTATAACATTTAAAGTTGTAACTTTGAAATTGATAGTTTTTACCAACAAAAAAGGGTAAATTGCATAATCTTTCTAGAGAAGAACTGTTGATCCTAGTATCATAGATCTCTCTATTTAAAGACCTTCGTTTGATCCTCTACCATTAGATCAACACTAAGGACATATGTAAATGCCTCTAAATAACATGACTTTTCTCATATAATGAGAGAAGCTCATTGATCGAAGCTCATAACCCATGAGATAGGAAAATTTTTGTTATTGTGACCCTATGTACGAATCAATAAAGGGTAACTCATCACGATTCCTCTACTATTGAGAGATTCGAGATGACTTTGAATCAATCTATAAGTGTATAAGAGATGTTCCTCGATGAGATGCCCCCAATGAATGCCAACTAAGGAGATAATTTGTGACTCTTTGCATGAATCAATAAAAGGTGAACCGTTAAAGCCCCTTATACTCTACTGCCTTCGTTTGTATAAATGGAGGTACCCTTAAAGAATTTCAAGTTACATCATTGATATTTGATTTATTAATTGATCGGTTCATAATGATATAAAGGTCTGCTTAAAAGATTAGAGTTCCATCATGTCAGACCAACATATAGTTATTAAGCTTAGTTTAAGATTTAAATATTTAAAATTAATGTCAAGGAATACCCTTAAAAATATAAAATATTTATTTTAGACCTATATTATGATATATTATACATGCTAAAACTATTATTATATTATTATATTAAATTAATTAAATAATAATATTTTAATGATGATATATATTTTTAATATGTTAATATAGTTTAAAAATTTTAATTTATTATTATAATGACTTATCTAATTACATAATTTTTAATTTAAATATTTTTAGATATATAAATATCTATTTTTGAAAATATCAAATGCCCAAGGGTGAAGGCCGAAACTTCCATCAGCCCAAGTGTGTTCCAATAACTAAGAATAGTGCCATTTTATCTCTAAACCCGGTGGCAGCCTTCGGCCACGGTGGAGTTAAGAAGAAGCAGAGCAGAGTTTGTGATGAGCTATGGCTTCCATTTGCAACATTCCCATTTCTCTAACTTCATTACCTTCCCTTTCCAAATCAAAATTTCAGTTTTCCCAAAATCCCTCTTCTCTCTCCTTATCAACAAAACCCATCCCTTTTCACAGTACAAATAATCGTAAGAAGAAGAATAGCAGCAAACTTTGGATAACTTTGGCCACTCCTCAAGAAGTTCTTCCATCAGATTCCACCCCACTTGAGCAGACTGTGTCCACTACAGGTGATGAAGGCGTTGCGAATGTTATTCAGGCTCTTCTCTTTGTTGCCTTTGTTGCTCTAACTATTCTCACTGTTGGGGTAACTTGTCAAATTTTCCAGCTTCACCCCCCCGAATTTAACATCAAATTGTGATTTTGAGCTGTGAGTTGTGTCTGGATTGAGTGCTTTAAACTGGGTTTGCAGGTTTATACATAGCTGTGCAAGATTTCTTGGAGAAGAGGGAGATTGAGAAGTATGCAAAGAAGGCTGCCAAGAAAGAATGGGAAAAAGAAGAAGAAGGTGAGAGCCAGAGCTGGGCCTAGGGGATTGGCCAAAGGATCGATGAGATGATGATATTTAGGTTACAAATTTCCTTGTAAACTTCACATTTCCATTGCCACTTCTGGACTTTGCCTTTCTTTCATGCAAGACATGTTTGGACGAAATTTGTGTTTCTGTGTGTGCCTTTTTCTCTTGGATAAACAAATTTTTTCTACTCCTTCAATTATTACGTTCTATTTTAGTCAGTCAATTTATAAAAATATGTAATTTAATCACTAATTACCTTTTCATTTCATTTAGTATGAATAGAATTGTAAACTAGCGGAGTTAACTCGATTAATGTTAAGCTGAACTCAAAAATTAAATAAAAAATTTAAAATTATATTTTCGTGTTATTTATGAATATCAAATAGATCGCTTTGATTCATTAAAATTCGAGTCAAATACATCGATTCAAGTATTGATAATACTTAGTATTTGAACTTTAATCGAATTAAACTCAAATAACACGATCTATCTTTTCGTAGATACAAGACTAAAAATGACGAGATATAATATAGTTTGATTTCAAAATTGAAAACGAAAACAAACAAGGTTATAAACATAAAACAGGTGGATACAAAAAATATTATATCATAAGCATACCCCCAGCAGCAACGATTTTATCTACACGTGCAACGATATGCTTTCCGTAAGTGTACTTCTTCAATGCATTTAAATGGACCTTAATTCGAGGAAGGATCAGCTCACGTTGCTGGTCATCGCAAGTCTCGAGTACTTTCTGAACCACATAATTTGCAAACTGATCTTTCATCATTGCCTGGGATGGATAAACAGTTGTCAGTAAATGGATCCCGGACTGACATGAAATTTATAGAAACTCTTTCTAGGGAAAATTAACCAAAAGTCGAATTCGTAACGACATGCATCTATATTTAAAAACACCATTAGGTAACAATCAGTATAATACAGTCCAAATCAATCCAATTTTCTTTATTTGAAGTTCAAGAAGAATATCAGCACAAACTTGAAAATAACCGTTGCAATCTCGGCGCACGATAAGAGTTCTCTGGGTGCACGTTAGCTGGCCTAACGGAATCCGAGGATTCCCGACGTGTCTCCGGTGGGTTTTGAACTCTTTTCCAGTGCATTTGCTTTCTCTTCTTGGCTTCTGTCTTCAGCTACAAAAATGTGTAAAAGCCCAATGAATTGAGGAAATCTCTTTGGCTGTTCTGAAGGTCACAACCTGAATTTTTCCCCATTTGATTCGCGATGGGTCAAAATCATCCACCCACCTCCTGATGTACTGCAATCGGGAATCAGAATGGAATCAATCGCTCGTGGGACAATTCCTTGGCGCAGCTCCCAGATTTGCCACAATGCAAGAATTGTGGATAATTTGTGGAAGAAATCCTTATGCGGCAGAGACGTCCAAGTAAGTTTCGCTGGCGATAATCTCTACATTTTTCTTTTTCATCTAATTCCGATATGTTGAAAACATTTTGATATTTCGATATAATAAATTAAGTTAAGATTTTAAGATTTTCCAAATGATTTTCTAAGTATATTCGATAGAATTATTCGAATATCAAAACATTACTCCAAATCTTTCAAAGATCATTTTATCCTTACTCAAAGTGTAAAATTAAATTTTAAACTTAAAAAATTTCAAATAATTTTACAAAGTATTTCGAACCATTTCAAAGCCAAAAATCCAGATTGCTCAGAGGGAACCGATTCCCCCCAAGGGGGTACCGATTCCCCTCAGGGGTACCGATTCCCCCTTGTATAACAGTTAAAATATTTGATTTTACACTTAGGGAACCGGTTCCGCATAGGGGGTACCGATTCCCCCCCACGCTCCAAACTGTTTTATTAATTGTTTTCACACTAAAACGGCTATATTATTTTCTCTAATCATCCCCAACGTTCAAAAGTGATTCAAGGTGTATTTAAGCAAGCTTAGAGCCATTGATCAATAACAAGAAACATCAAGCAATTAGAATCAAGAGAGAATCAAAGAGAAAGTATCAAACCTCAGTTTGAGCATTTCAAGCCTATTTTCATTCAATATTCATTTTGCTTTCAAGAACACTTATTGTGCTCAATTGTATTTATTCTTGAGTGTTCTTTCTTTGTTCTAGAATTGTACAAACATTTTGCCTTGTGAGGTTTTTCTTGTAAGTTTGCAAATTTGTATTTATCTTTGAGAAAGAGTGTTCTCAAGAATTGGGGTATATTCTTGAGGGAGTTGTAAGGTTATCTCTTTGGCCTCAAAAGAAAGAACAAATTAGTGAATTTGTTGGAAAATCCTTAGTGTGGATAGCTAAGGTAGTGGACGTAGACTTTGGTTGATAAAGTCGAACCACTCTAAATCACTGTGCAATTTCTTTTAATTTTCTGCAAAAGCTTCCACAAAATTTTTATTGTCAATTCACCCTCTCTTGGCCGATTCAGTCAATCGATTAACTCAACAATTGGCATCAGAGCCTAACTCATTTGAAGGTTTAATCGCCTCTTGAGTCGATTCGGGAAGAGTTATATCGATAATCAAATCATCTCCGCTTCAACTTCGACTCTGGTCTCGATTCGATGCCCGTCAACAAGCCTCCTTTCTTCAATGGAGCTAACTATGCCTATTGGAAGAATAGAATGATGTACTTCATTCAAGCAAGTGACATGGGAGCATGGAATGCTGTAGAAGAAGGATACATCAAACCTCTCACTCATCCAAGGTTGTGGAGTGAGAGAGACAAGAATGTTCCAGCTCAACTCCAAAGCCATCCATATCATTTTTTTGCTCTTGGACCAGATACGTAAGAGTTTCATCGTGTACAACCGCCAAAGAAATATGGGACAAACTTCAAGTCACTCATGAAGGTACCGATGAAGTAAAGAAATCTAAAATTAGTATTCTAACGCATAACTATGAAAATTTTAGGATGAAACCAAATGAAGATATCAAAGCTATGACGAATAGATTTTCAAACGACTGTCAATGGTCTCAAATCATATGGAGAGATCATTTCAAATGAAAGCTTGTGAGGAAGTTAGTCTACTCTCCCAAAATTGTGACAATCAAATAAGACAACAATCATCGAGTCTAAGGACTTAACGTCCTTAACTCTTGAAGGGCTAATTGGGTCACTCCTCACTCATGAAATGATGCTCATAGATGAGGTGGACCTCGACAAGATTGACGAGACACCAAAGAGAAGAGAAGAAGAAAAACATTGGAGTTGCTCTCAAATCCACAAAAGATGAGAGTGATTCGAATAACGATGACGATGACAAGGAAATGACATGTTTGCCAAACGGTTTCAGAAAAATGATGAGACCTTATCAGGAAGAAAATTCAAACGAAATGAAGGCCTAAAAAATGAACCGAAAGAGAGGACTCATCATTTGCTACGAATGCAAAAAGCCAGGGCATGTCAATATGATTGCCCACAATTGAAGAAAAAGGGTCAATCAAAGAATAAGCACAAGGCTCATGTGGCTACATGGAGCGATGAAGAAAGTTTCGATGAAGGGAACAAGTAGCTAACTTGTGCTTGATGGAATTTGGGAAGATTCTAAGGTAACCTCTAACTCATCGATTTTGATGATTTATCCTATGATGATTATTAGAGGAATAATGAGTTGACTTCGGATTATGAGAAATTATTTTTAAAATAAAAATGATGTTTCAAATTGAAAATGAAAACAACTCATATCCAAAACCAACAACGATCTTGAAAGTAAAATCAAAGATTTGCAAATCAACTAGAAGAGTTTGAAAAGAAAAATTTAGATTTGCAAAATTTACTTTCAAAGATCATGATCATCAAAGAAATTGATGATCTTAAACTTCTTTTGATAAGTTAGAACAAAATTTTGAAAAAGGTGGAAATTCAATCCAACTTTGTTAGAAAAAGTTTAGAAACTACAATCATAGAGGTCCCCAAAGAACCTCTAATGGAAAAATCGTAGAAGTATATGGTTCCTAAAGAACTCATTACTACTAAAGATAAAAATATCCTACACAATGGATACCTAAGGGGACTAGGATTTGGAAACTAATGAATATGGACCCAAAAGAATTTGGGTACCAAAAATAAAATTAATCTATGTTTGTAGGGAAAGGAGCCTTGCTACAAGGCACGGGAAACAAATTCAAATTCATGGTACCTTGATAGTGGATGCTCCAGACACATGACCGGAGACAAAAGCCGGTTCATTGAGCTTAAACGCCAAAAATGGAGGAAAGTGACTTTTGGAGACAATTCAAAAGGTCATATTGAAGGTATTGGTACAATAGGTAATACCTCTTCCATACAAATTAAAAATGTTTTATATGTGAATGGATTAAGCATACTATTGAGTATTAGTCAATTATGCGATAAAGGATTCAATGTATTATTTGAAATTAATGGTTGTAAAGTCATTGACATTGCATCTAATCGGATTATGC